AAAGGATTTAAATATGTGACAGATAAGATGGATGGATTTTTTAAAAGATTATGATTGTACAATCCATTATCATTCAGGAAAGGCTAACATTGTGTCCGACACTCTAAGTAGAAAATCTACAAGAGCCTTTGCTCATTTAATGATCCAAGAAATGAAATTGTTAGAAGAAATAGTGAATTGGCATCCGGCTCCATCCTTTAATGGTGTGGTAAGTATGATTGCCAACATTAAGGCAGAACCCCAATTAATTCAATAGATTTGGTTGGCACAAAAGGAGGACCCTCAGCTTATAAAAATTGTAGAAGACTCGATGTTGGTAAAAAATGACAAATTCTCTATAAGCAGTGATGATTTGTTAAGATTCAGAGGTCGGATTTGTGTTCCGAATGATGAGAGTGTAAAAAGAGTTATCTTGGAAGAAGCACATCACTCCCGCTATACTATACATCCCGGAAGTATTAAAATATATCAGGACTTGAAGAAAACCTTTTGGTGGAATGATATGAAAAAAGGTGTAGCACTATTTGTGTCTAAGTGCCAAACATGATAGCAAGTAAAAGCTGAGCATCAAAGGACCGCTGGGTTGTTGCAGCCTTTACTCGTGCCAGAGTGGAAGTGGGAGCACATCTTTATGGATTTTGTCTCCAACTTGCCTAGAACAATTCAGGGCATGACAGCATTTGGGTCATTATGAACCGGCTGACTAAAGTTGCCCACTTTCTACCGATCCGCACGACTTACACTTTGGATCGACTAGCCCAGTTGTAAATTAAGGAAATAGTGTGGTTACATGGAGTTCTGGTCAGTATTGTATCGGACAGGGACATTCGGTTTATTTCTAAATTTTGGCCTAGGACACAGTCAGCCATGGGGACGAGACTCACCTTTAGCACTGCCTTTCACCCCCAAATTGATAGACAATCAGAGAGGACCATCCAGACCTTGGAAGATATACTGAGGGCCTGTGTCATTGACTTTACAGGAAGCTGGAATGACCATTTACCCCTGATTGATTTTGCTTATAATAATAGTTTCCAAGCCAGTATTCAGATGGCACCATATGAGGCCCTATATGGAAGGAAATGCAGGTCACCCATCTGTTGGGACGAGGTTGGTTAAAGAAAGCTTTTGGGGCCAGAAATCGTCCAGGTAACCACAGATAAGATAGCATTAATTCGAGAAAGGCTCAGGACAGCTCAGAGTTGGCAAAAGAGTTACGTCGATAACCGACGGAGAGACTTCGAATTTGAGGAAGGTGATCGAGTTTTTCTAAAGATCTCACCAATAAAGGGCATCATGAGATTCGGCAACAAAGAAAAGCTGAGCCCCCGCTACATCGGATCCGTAGAAATCCTGGAGAGAGTCGAAGGTGTCGCCTATAGACTTGCCTTACCACCCGAATTGGCAAACGTCCATAGTGCCTTCCATGTATCCTCATTACGAAAATATCAGCCCGACCCATCCCATGTCTTGAAATATGAACCTTTACCGTTTAGAAAGGACCTATCCTTCATTGAGCAGCCAATTTTGATCCTGAATAGGACAGTACAAGTGTTGCACAAAAAGAAGATCCCTTTGGTCCGTATATTATAGCAGTGCTATTCAAGAGAGGAGTCAACTTGGGAATAAGAAGACGAAATCAGAGAAAAATATCCATATCTTGTTAAGTAATCAGATACACAAACTTGGAGGACTAAATTTCTTTAAGGGGAGGAGATTATGACGACCCTAAATTTTTTTTTAAAAAAATGGCAAACTAATAATAATAGTGTTAATAGAATAAATACAATAGAAATAAATGAAATAAAATAAAATACATAATGAATATTTAGAACGATAATTCATGGTGACAAAATGCACCATAAGGACCATCTTTTCACTTACGTAAAATTACCCCTCAATTTAAATATGGACTCACGTTTCTTGGATATCTGATTAATAATTCAAAGCTACGATTTTCTCAAATTTTTTGATGCTAGTCCATTTCTTTAAGGTGCACCTTTGGTCCATCAGCTCTTTTACCATAATTGAATGTAAAGCTTCTAAAACATTTCTTCTTGCAAGCGTATTGGGCATGGTGAGGCTGACGTGCCTCCATAAGATGTTGCATTAATTGTCATATTGTGTGGTGGCATTACCACATATTTTAGTTAATCCTCTATTGATACATTTTAAATGATGTGGCACGCTTTGCATCATGCATGGATGCTTTATAAATAAGTTTTCTTTTGATCTAAGGAGTGTCATTGAAAAATCTTTCTTTGGTACCGTACTCTCTCTCTCTAAGTTATCATTTTGTTTCAATGTACTCTCTCTCTCTTTAACCTCTTTCTTCCATCTAGTATGTTCTCTCTCTACAATTGTTCCTTCTACCTACCCATTATCCCCTGCCATGGCTGAAATGTTCAGGTTTTCCATTGAAAACCTCGTAAGTCACTAGCCTCTTCTATCTGTTCAATATTTCTTTGACAACCTAACTATCTCACATATGTGATAGACAGTTGAAAACCTCATGTGTTACAACCCATGCCATTCTTTCGAATCCAAAGCTTTACTTCCTCTCAGGATCTTATCCATGGTGCTCTCACCGCTCGTCTCCCTCTAGCCGAATTTTATCGAAGTTCCCTCCCAAATATTATAAGTAAGTGATCGCATTTTTCTGAAAAATGATTAGTTTTTAATAAATAATGATATTTCCATCCAACATCTTTATTTTTTAAGCTTTGTATATAAGTAACCTCATTGTTTTGAAAAATAATCTTTTTAGTAAAATTGTGATATTTTATCTATTGTTAGGAATTTTAAATGTTGTAAATTATTAGAAATAAAGGTGATATTTCTGCTTAAAATTATGAGATTTCCTTCTATTGTTTTTGAATATTTAGACATTGTAAAATTCATATGCAAATGTCTGCCTCATTATTTGAAAAACTGATATTTTTGCACTTGATTATAGTATTGCCTATGAAATGATTATTTACAAATTGGCAATTCCATAAATTGTGATAATTCTGTATTTAATTTTAGATTTTTATAAAAGTTCGTCTACTGATACTAGACTGTTATCATGTTAAATTTCAAGAATGTCCTTCAAAACTGTTACCTTTTAGAAATTATTGCACAAAATGTTTAAATCGCTACTTAGAGATATTTCAATGGAAGTGATTATTATTAAATTGGTTCAAGTGAATTTATGTTAATGTTTTCAATGATACTTCGCATATATGATATTGTTGCTTTTTGATATTTAAAGAGTTTCAAAGATAATTTGAGTATAAGTGGACCTGCAGTGATCGTTAGGACCGATCCGGTAATGTCGGTAGAGACTATTTGGACTCTTCTCGGACGCCGGTGATGTATGATCGGACCTGCAGGGATTGTTAGGACCTATTTCGTTACGGCGATATAGGCTATTTGGACTCATCCGGAACGCCGGTGAGGTATGTTTCGACCTGCAGGGATTATTTAGACCTATCCGATAGGAGCTATTTGGACTCATCCGGTACGCCGGTAAGGTATGTTTGGACCTACAGGGGTTATTTGGACCTATCAAAACGCTGGTGGGGTATATAAGTGACCTACTTGGCACGCCAGTAGGGTATTTTGTGGAATCCTTGAATTATGCATCTCTGTTAAAATGTTTATATGCATTTCCATCATTTGGATTATGTTTAACTGTGGATTTGTGAAAGAAGAATTGTTATCTATAAATGCTTTTGCTCGAAATTCTTTCTCATGTTGTTTTTTTTTACATACATTCTTCAGAAAATGTTTATATCTTCGAACCATGATTAATTTTAAGACCATGATGATCACTTACTGAATAGCCAAACTTACCAAACTATGGTAAATATTTTTCAGGGTAATTGCAATCTTATAGTTAAATGCGCATCAGGACCAGCTTGTGAAGAAGATGTAGTCATGTCATAACTAAATTCTCCTTTGTTACTTTTGTTTAACTTCACCACTGTAAATGTTTTGTTCTATCAACAGATGTATACTTAGTCTTCATGTTAATACCAGTTGTGAGCAAACTTTGGACAAATTTTAATTAATAGAAAATTTTGTTTTGTTACAATATATATTAATAGAAATTTGAATTTTTCCTAGTATAAGAATAGTCTGTTGCATTTCGAGAATGTTAGAAATCTTGGGGCGTGACAGCTTGTATCAAAAGGAATCATTTACCTGAAAAAAAATCATACAAATGACAACTTTGCAGATATATTTACAAAGCCACTCACTATGGAGAAGTTCAAGCTTTGCTAAGACTTGCTTAATGTCTCTCATTGTTAAGAGTGAGGGAAGCACTTCATGGCAGGTGAGGGTGCAGCAGTATACATGGATGAAGACATCTTCAAGATAGCTCGACAAAATTCAAGTCAAGGTGGAGATTGTTGAGGATTGATGTCTTGTATTATGAGGAAATAGATCTGTCAAGGTGGAGTCAAAAAGACTATTCTGGAGGGCCGTTAAAAGCCCGAAGGGCCGAAGGCCCATAGCGCTTGAGGCCTGGAGGAGTCGTCCTGACAGGTTAACTTGATGGACTCGGCCCTTGTGGAGGTTCGGGGATAGCAGGCCCCGAGGAAAAATTCGGATATATCCGTATATGGGATTCGATATATCTAGGACTTGATATATATATATATATATCCGTACAAGGGTATTTCGATAATTTATACCATCTATCTAAGACTCGACATATATTGTTGCGATTGGGGGTTCATCTAGGGTTAAGGGTTAAGGAAAAAATACAGATCTCTTTATAATTAAATAAAAATATAGAGGAGTGAGGAAGAGAGCGTATTGTAACCCTATTTTCATTGCCAGTAGAGAAGCTCTAATCTCCGGCGGACGTAGGCACGTTGTCGGACCACGTATATCTTTGTGTTGTAGTTGGTTGTCTCTTTCTTTTGTGTTTGTTTTTTCTTTCTTGTTTTCGTGGATTGCTTTTTGTTTCTACAGGGTCTCAAGTCAGGTCCGGGTCCATTGACACCGTATCAATTACGTTGTTGGAAAATAGATTGATAGCGATCATGTTGTCTTGATTTCACTAACATATAGTGTAGGGAATCCATAATCGTAAGTATCATTTCTCACCCTGACAGCAGCTTTTCCATATGCATACAACAAAGTTTAGACTTTAGGGCCAAATTTCCCCTTAGTGTCCAAGACAAAACATCCTCAGAGATTCCCTACTCTCTCCGAGTACCTTTCCAATCAATTATTTACTCCATATCCCCTCATAAACCACTCAACCATATTTAACAGAAGGTTTTACTGAAGAAGAAACCCCTTTTAAAGTCCTAATTTCCATGTCTCCACTGCAAATATGCCTGCTAGCCCTTGCCTTACCTTTGCTTCTCCTCATATTGAGGCTCATCAGAAGGCAACAGGGATGGAGGGCTAACCTCCCTCCTGGTCCCTTGAATTTGCCTATGATCGGAAGCTTACACCCCCTTGGCAGTGCGCCACACTTGTCGCTCACCGAGCTTGCCCGTCAACATGGCCCCATCATTTACGTCCGCCTCGATGAGCTCCCAACTTGCGTGTTGCCGTCCGCTGAGATGGCAAAAGAGGCACTCAAGATGCATGATGCCGCTCTCGCGAGCTGACCGACACTCTGTGCAGCACAGCAACTGTTCTATGGGTCCACTGACATTGCATTCGCGCCCTATGGCCTTTATTGGAGGCAGGTGAGGATCATTTCCCTGTTTTAATAGGTGATTTGGGTTCGAGCCGGATGAGAAAACGGATGGAAATATACGAGGCCTCGGGCATTGCTTTATGTTGAGGCATTCCACATTTAAGAAACCTTAAATTGTATAGGATCTAAACCAATATATAAGACTGCACCAATTTTGAAGTACAAACCAATATAGTACTTCTGAAATTTAAATCCTGCAATCTGGACATGGAATTTTTGATTCGGATGGCGAATTGGATGCCACCAAACCAGTACAAGGTAAATGTTCGTCCGGGCCCTGTCCTTCCCCCTACACCATATTTTGTTTTGGTCAAGTTTATCTAATACTTTTTTATTCCCCACAACACAAACCACTATTTAAATTTTATTTTATTTTTTTATTTTAAATATTTTTCGAACTTGAAATCGCCGATTCAATGATCTACCATGGATTTGCGGGGTGGACGATCCACACTCCACTTATTCAGATTTTGAGAGAAGTGGCAAAACTACCCCAGGTAACCTAAAAAGTATTGTTTTAAAAAAATGGATTAGTGACCTTGTTTGTCCATTTGGAAAACTATTTTGGATTGGCGGATCGATGTTCCAGATGAGTGAATCGGCCAGATCAGCCTGATCCAACTTTAAAAAAATATAAAAACATGACTAAAATTTCTTGAAAATCTAAAACTTATAGTTTTCCAAAAAAAACAAAAAAAATATTACATTACAGGTTTTCATTATTTTAACAAAAATACATAAATACTACAACACGTCCCATGTTAGAATGTTTATCCATTACACTCATTCTACAATCAAAGTGAAATTTAAAATAAAATTAATTGCTAAAAATAGGCCTATCTAACTTTAAAAAAATTATTTTTTAGTTTTACAATCTATAATGCCACTTGTAAATAGGTCTTACATACTTATTTCTTATTTTCTCTTTTTCTTGAAAATTGATTTATTGAAATAATTATTAATTTTAATTCTCATTTTTTTTAATATTATATTTTTCTAGGAGTATCGTAATTAATGTATAGTTGGGGAAGAATCAGTTCCCGATCAGAGAGAGAGAGAAAGAGACGGGGCAGAGGGGGAGAAAATGAAAAATAAAAAATCCAATCCGAGAGACGGAGAGAGAGAGAGAATAAAACTAGAAGCACGGAATCCACGCGAAACTTGTGTGTGAAAATGAAAAAAGGAAAACCCAGTCCAAGAGAGACATGGTGAAAGGGAAAATCCAATCCAAGAGAAAGAATGCGTGACTGAGTCAAAAAAAAGAACAGCCGAATCTAATACAATCTCAAGAAATGAAGACGGGATATTGGATTGAATAACCAACAATTTGGTGCAAGTAAAATTAAATAGAAACAAACATAACATAAAAGAAATATTGGATTGGTTAATGATTTGCAAATTTATTGTGGGGATTGCAAAATTGTTTCACCAATCCAATTATACTTTAAGCTTTTTTATGTTTTTCCTTATTTATCAAAAGATCTTTGTTTTCCCTGCATCTCATTCGTAAAGGGCGTTAAGTGTAACAGGAAAAAAACAGATTGTGTCCCCTCTTCTACTTCTCTCTAAAATTTTACCATTTTTTTTTTTTTTTTGTCGAAAGGGGTAAATTTATTAATCGTTGGTGGCGTATGAATTATTGAAAAAAAGTTTGGTGAGGGGACCATCTATTTGTCCTTCATTGTTAACACTCAAGAGAGACAATTAATATTAAATAAGATCATCGTTGATTGCGGGTCGAAACTGCGGAGCAATTACGCTCTGGTTGTAGGGGAAGCTTGGTAAAAAGTTTCAAAACAATAAAATTATTTTTAAGAAAAAAGTTTATATAAGGTGTCAACTGTAGAAGCACCTAAAAAACCTATTGAAAGATGATGTTTTATCAATAGAAAATTCTCCAATTGATTATCATGATCTTGATATACATGAATATATAAGAAAAATTGAATTTCACTTTTTAAAAATAGTGCATCTTATAACATATTATCTAGGCTATCCATTTTCAAGATTTTCGAATGCTCATAGATCTACTAGATTTATACCATTTTCAGATCTTTCAATTTCATTATAGGGGTGAAATATAGACTCTTAGGCTATAATAAGAGTTTTGGCATTGAAAGTACATCTTCTAATGAGATTTTGAGGTGCACCATATCATCATTGTCTAATGAGACCAATTACCTTTGATACAAAGTGGTTACAATTAATCTTGACCATTGGATGTGAAAGGGGGTGGCTGTATATATTTCATTGACTAAGTTCAAAGTTCAAAAGATTTTCTCGAACTTTGTGACACACTTAGATATCAAATTTCACATCGGATGGTTATAAGTAATTGTGACCTTCCTGTAGCAAAAGTAAATAATGGCATTGTAGACCATCCCCCTTAAAAGACACACCTATCCTAGTATTTCTATAGTATTAGGTCCCTTTATTTTCTTGTGACATGTGTCCTCTCTTAACCGTGGCTTAATATTGTAGGACAAGTATACCAAATTTTTCTTATGTCTTTGACGTCCCTTATATATAAATAAGGGAAAATATCTCCATATCTCTTATTTTTAGATTTCATTTCTTGATAAACTCAAAGTTTCAAAAGATATCTTCCAACCCCTTGCCACTTTAAATCCATTTTTTAACCTAAACAAATGTGAAAAAGATATAATCTTTCTAAACCCAATCATCTCTCTCTTCATTTATATACCCCAAATTTCTCTCGTTTCTCTCTTCATGCCTCTCTCATTATCTCTCTCCTCCCATAGTTTTCCAAACACCTCCCTCTCTTTCTCTTTTGGGAAACCTTTCACCTCCATGAAGCCCATCTCTCTCTATAAAAATTTGGAAGGATGGTTTTTAAAAAAGGCTCGTCTTTTTAGATTTGTTTGACCTAAAAAAAAAGGTTTAATTAGTTTCGAGGACTAGAAGAAATAAAATCTACAAATTTTATACTCTAAGATATCTTTTAAAACCTTGAAGCTATTGTGAAATGAAACCTGAAAATAAAAAGTATGAAGATATTTTCCCTATAACTAAATCCGAATCCATTTATAAAAAGTTGCATTTTTTTTCATGAAAGCAAAATTGAGTGAGTTAAAGTTGTTTACAATGGTTGCTTCTGAAGAAGCATTCGCTAATATTATCCTTACTTTAGTACGTTACTAAATTTTCTAAATTTTTTCTCTACACGTACAAATTGTTGCCAATGGTATGTATAACGACACGGCCTTTATGGTACCCTTTTACATGCCTTGGTGTTTTATTATTGAAAAGGTTTTCTTGGTCTAAAGGTAATATGAAAGATTACCTAGGAGATCTAGAATCTGTGAATAAGATCCTTTCACTAAAATACCTCCTCAATTATGCTCAAAATGTGCCAATTTATTGTTTGCAATCTTCAACTAGCAATGTTATTTTAGAAATTTCTCTCATAATACATCTATTTTATTAAGAAAATATCCCACTTGTTCCTGATTCCAAACCCTGAGCATGCGATTTTTTTGAGAAAAACACATGTTCTTAGTTTGGATCACGAAACAATTTGAGATAATTTTATCATTTAGGTCAGAGTACCTAAATCAAGTGAAATGATATAAATCATCTTTTACGGAAGTAGGAAACTTGAATACATATTGGTATTTATGCCATCTGGTTTGGGCCATCTAAAAACGATAAATTACTCGATACATCCATCTTGTACAGGATTCTATATATTGAAGTAAATCCTTTCAGAGAAAATAAAAGAGGGAAGGCCTTGCATTAAATGGTCTTTTTAAAGTAATAATTTAGTTGAATCGATAACCGCAGTGGTTTTCTAAGCTAAGCTTAAAATTTTACTCTTTTTTTAGAGTGATTTATGTACGGTCCCTATAATTTTTTCTAAAATACAAAATGCTCGACTTTCAACCCACGTTTTTTATTATTTCCAAAATTGCTCCTCGGTATAAAGATGGCATCCTCAATCTAAATTTTATTTTATTTTTTCTTTTAGTTTTTTGTTTGTAGGGCATTACCTCAAGCATTAGGGCAGTGCCCTACTAACAAAAAACCTAAAAAAAATATAAAATTAAAATTCAATGCAAGAATGTCTATGGATCGAAAGGTAATTTTGAAGAAAAAAGGCAAGTTGATCGACTTTCTTTGTAATTTCTATCTATAAATGAAGCATTTCAGTCGATACGTAAATTGCTCTTTCTTTTAAGAGAATTCAAAAATCAAACTAGTGCTCGTCTTTCATTTGAGTAATGGTTTTCTCCCTATAAATGAAGCATTTCGGTCGATACGTAAATTGCTCTTTCTTTTAAGAGAATTCGAAAATCAAACTAGTGCTCGTCTTTCATTTGAGTAATGGTTTTCTCCCCAGGTGAGAAAGATATGCATCCTGGAGCTATTCAGCACAAAGAGCGTGCAATCCTTCAGATTCATGAGAGAACAAGAAGCAGCACATTTGGTGAGCTCAATACGTTCATCATGCAGGGTGGGCGAAGTCGACCTCACCAAACTTCTAGGCCCTTTCGCTAATGGCTTAATGTGCCGTGTTGCATTAGGGAAGAACCACTGCGAAGGTCGGGAGTATGAGAGGGAGTTCAAGCGGATGTTAGAAAAGTACCAAGTATTGTTAGGAGGTTTTGGTTTGGGAGATTTTTCCCCTATTTAGAAGGATGGTTGAATTTGATCACGGGAATGGCATCGAGGATGAAGAAGACTTTCGAGGATTTTGATCGATTTTTTGATCAAGTGATCGAGGATCACCGCAGGAAATCAAAGGTTCCTGGTGGTGAGAACGATGTGAAGGATCATTTTATCTCAGGTACGAAGAGTTCACAGTAACCTTTATTAATATGTAAAATCTAATCATCTTGAATGCATAATAAAGTTCAAAAAAATTTCTTTATGATAACGAGCTTGATTGGTAAAACACCTCTAGCCCCCCAACTTCACATCTAGCAGTTGGAAATCATTATAACCTCATATTACAAAAGTTAAATGTTGTTCTTTTGTACTGCTCATTTACTTTAATTGAGTGATATGTTCCTTAGAAATCAATTGCAATTAAGCCTCTTAGCGCACCATTCAAGTACTGCAGGTAGTGAGAGAGAGCAGACATACCAAAGGGTCACACTCCATAACATCACTCTTTGCATTCCTCTATGACGTTGCTCCGAAGACAAGTTCACCAAACCCCACTTTTCTCTTTTTTAATTTTTAATTTTTAATTTTTTTATTTTTTATTTATTTTTGATGTCATTCAATCTTTTATTTCTTTGATAGAACACTTGAATGCATAAAACATTGTTTGAATTTTATAATTTAATAAAAAAGAAAATCATGATGAAATTTTTAGGGTGCGTATGATTTACTAGGTTGCACCAGCAAACAATATAAAAAAGTTTCAAAAACTAAAAATAAGAAAAATACCCCTAAATACTTCAAAAGTAAATTGTTATTTATTTTTGTCAATTGTTTATATTTTTTAGTGTGATTTACGTATGGGCCTTAAAAAAATTTTCTAAAATAAAAATGCTCCTGTAGGCGGAAATTACAAAGGTCTTTCAACATTTTTTTTTTTTTTTAAAAAAAAAAAAAAAATTGCCCCGCCGCCCAACGAAATTCTTGGACCGAATTTTAATTTTTTTTTAAATTTTTTTCGTTAGTAGGGCACTAACAACCTTTTCTTTTTTTTTTTTTCTTTTTTTTCAAAATTGCCCCTCGGCCAAAGGAAATTCTTGGACCGAATTTTAATTTTTTTTTAATTTTTTTTTAATTTTTTTCGTTAGTAGGGCACTACTTTTAAATTAAAGGCACTACCTTACTAACAAAAACACTAAAAAAATTAAAATTGCCGAGGATTCCATCCTCGGATCAGAGGATAATTTTGAAAAAAATAGAAAAAAGGTACGTTGACCCACCTTCGTTGTAATTTCTCACTATAAATTTGAACACAAACTAATGTACTATAAAAATTGTAAACTTAAATACATGGGCATACACTTAATTGTCTGATCAAGAATAGACAATTGAGAGCAAAACGTATTTTAACACAAGAAAAACATTAGTTCTTTTTAGATCAGACAACGAGAAAACACAATCACATATCTTTTACATGTGTGTGAAACCACATAAAAAGTTTACCCACCCCCATATGCCCTTGTTGCTATGTCTCTAGAGAGGCCTTTTACCAATGACCCAACGCTTGTTGGTAGTTGGACAAACAAGTGGTTAACCTCCAAACCATGTATCATTTCATTTTCTAACGTTACTTGATTATGGTTTTTAAAATTGCAATCAATCGAATTGGAAGCATTGCAGATTAATTCTTTAATAATATACAAATTTCACTGTTTGGGGAAAATCAAGTTGCTCCTTGAATATGATATTTTATTGAAAGAAACCGCAACTGATTTTACTAGAATAAAAAATGCTTTAAAAGCAATGCCTTTTTTAGTTCTCTTATAATATTAGCGTTTTTTTTTTTTTCTTTACTTTTTCTGATAGTTCAGTCACCAGAATCATACTTCCAGTACTTCCAATTGTGGTTTGTGTTAACGTAGGATATGTATCATGATATCAGAGCCATAGACTCGAAGCTCTGTTGGGTTGTCATGATTGCTTTGGCAAATTGGTGTCTTTATTGTGATTTGTTCTTCGCACATTGAAATAGTGGAAATTGTTTTTCATTTATTAATCAATAGCGATATAAGTTCCAATGAACTGAAGTAGAGGAAACCAATAGATGAAGGAGATATTTCAAGATTTTGGATCACTCTTGCATGCCTTTTCACGGTTACAGCTTAGAACAGGCTCTAGTTACAATTTACGAAATATAGTTTGATATTGCTAATCATAAAGTGTTTGATCTTTTCTTTTTATAGCGATCAGATCCATAGCTGAGCTTTCTTTATTTATGCATGAATAAATATGTAGGATTTCGGCCTGATCTTGATTGTAATTCTGTTTGACATTTAAAACTGAAACCAACGCCTAGTTCAGAATTACCCTACCCCCCATCCCTCCCCCAAAACCAACATAAAAAGAAAAGAAAACAAAACAAAAGTGACAATGTAGTCAATGGCTTGTTCATCTTACACGATCTTTGCTTTTCCGACAAATTTATACGATTGTAATTGCAAGCTAAATCAATCTTTTTTATGTTTTTTTGTTTTTTGTTTGTTTCTTTTTAAGGTTCTATAAAATTGAAATTGTTTCTATTGCTTATATCTCTATGTTCGGTAATATATTGACATCATCTTTCAATAAAATGTTTTGGAGCATTGGAATTTGCATACCAACCAACAATAGTGGTTATTTTTTAATAGCAATTTACGAAATGAACCATTTTCTTTAAAATCTCTATCTATGTGTTCTTTGATACAATATTCATTGGCTTTCTAGGGCATATTTGGCACCGGTACAGACACAACATTCATAACCCTCGACTGGGGCATGACAGAGCTCATTAGGAATCCAAGGGTAGTGAAGAAAGCCCAAGACCACATTAGGAGCAAAATTGGACATAAAGAACAAATCGAGGAGAGCAATTTGCAAGAACTAGATTACTTAAGAGCTGTAGTTAAAGAGATCTTTCGGGTACACCCAGCTGACCCGTTGTTGCTTCCTCATTTATCCATGGAAGATGTGAAGATAGGTGATTACAATATTCCAGCAAAAACTCTTTCAGATTTCCTGTTGGATTACTGTAAACTTTTCATGCTTGGGTATCTTGGAATTCATGTGTGATATAATGTTCAAATAGCTATATGTGCTGTTATTTAAGTGTACAGTTCCTAGCTCCATGGAAGACTTCAAACTCCAAAATGTTATGGCTTTTGTGTAATTTTTAGCCTCCCATATATAAAGAGCCCCTTTCAAGATTTCCTTTATAATCTTGATTCCTATTTAAGTCCCTTAGATTTATCTTTTGAAGATATTCTCAATTACATTTTATTTGAAATATCCAACGTGTTCTGCTTTATATTCTCTTCTTTCTCTTCTGACACAAAGTCTCCAATTCTATGGAAGTCATCGGAAAAATTACCACCAAAGAATAATCTCTAGATTATGAATATTCCTCGACTCTAATGACAAAACGACCTGAGTTTGGCTTTATAAAAGGTGCTTTTACTGTGTGAAACTTGATTAAAGGCCATGCAAGTGAGAAAATTCATGCATGGTCGGCGAAAAGACAATTCCAAGCAAAGATGTTTTAACTTCAAACCTATGATCGACAACTCATCCATAATGCTCTATATGAAACCATGTCACTCAAACACAATGCTCGAACGATTTTGAATCGAAATCCTAAATGGAAATGAATATGAACAACATTTGGTCCTAAGAGGGCAAAGCACAATAATCTGACATTTTGCTCTGGCCCTCAACACCCTGAGCAAGGTGCCGTGTGCACAAAAGTCACAATATAACAGTTTTCAAATACCAGATTCTACAAAATACTCAATTCACTTATCTCCTTGTTACACATATATTCTTCAATCATTACTGGCAAGAAATCATAGTCTGCATACCTATATATGTGCGGTTCTTGAAATTTTTGCCCCTCTTATTCAGGATGCATTAAACTTCTTTCAATGCTAACATAGGATGGATTAATAATTACCCATTTCATAACATGGTCTACGAACTTTGATTTCCATGTGGGGGAAATTTTGCCATTCAATTGGCACAATGTTGGATTTGGTGCTATCCCAAATCACCTATATAAAGAAATATCATTTTATA